TAGTTTTTAGCAGAACGTCAAGCCCAATTCGTTAGAACTCATCACGGTCATAGCATCTAATAGACGATTCATCCTATATTAGCGCATGTGTTCGAAATAAAAATGTCGAGCTTCTGTTTTAAAATCAACCGTCGAAAAACCCGCCGTACGGAGAGTAGCTGCATTTATGGACTACTTATCGAAATATAAATGAACGATCCCTTCTGTTTTCTGAAACGATCAAATAGAACATGCGTCGTGTTCTGAATATCTCGTAAATGTTCGCTATTGGCGTTAAGCATGATTTCAAATGGCTGGCTCCCAATAGGAATCGGGTTATGTCGATGCCCGGTTTCGACGTTAGATCGTCTCGTGACTTTTTCGTGCTGAATATCCGCGCTAATTTTCGATGTTTGCTGACATTCATACCGTTTCGAAAGCAAGCATTTTACGATAATATACGATACGAAACTCTAATATTATTTAAGAACCCAGTTCGTAATAATTCGAAAGGATTCTATATAGTTGCTAACGTAACGGAAATTATTTTGCTAGGTCTTATGTCCGCTTGCTTTTGACGTATTTAGGTTTAGGCTGTCCTGTTACACTGGCAATAACATCTGATGGCTGTGTGGTGACAAACAGAGTGCGACCCTTAAGCGGGAAATGCCGTTATCCTTTTGTTAAGATCGAAGCCTATTTTGACTTAATTCAATTTAAACGCCCACATGAAACCAAAAATGGTTATATGAGTAAAGCTGCTAAGCTAAGTCAAAAAGCCCGTCGCAATTAGCTTCAAAACACCCAACATCGGGTTACCTTTCATCATCACAGATTCTAGTTCTATGCGTTAAGTTCGATTTAGGGTTGTTTTTTCTAATTACGCCACACAGTTAGTTTGTCGAAGCTGCCGCTTAAGCTGTACCTTGATTGCCAAATCGACTTAAAGCAATAGGTTAAATTTACCAAGTGTTCGTAAAGAGTATTTCGGCTAGCTTTAGTATGTAGACATGGAATATTATGAATACAAAATAAGCTGTGTATGCCATAACTGAGGTGCGTCACGACTTTGAGGCCTATCTTAAACCACGATTGTCTCCAGACTCTCAAGCGAAAATATTAGCCTCGAAGTAAAAATGCATGCTTTTTCAATGATTGGATTCTTTGACTACTAATAAGCGTTCCCTGACGCGGCTAATACGCTGCATAACATCTAACCTCTCTGAAAGCACTAACTTTCATTGACATTAAACAAAGCAAGTGAAATCATATATATATATATATATATATATACCAATTAACTGTAGTAGGCAATTTAGGGTTCACACGTATTTCGTTAGTATGTTTATATATATATATATATATATGTATATATATAAAGCAGTTGCATTTAGGGGATACCTTTCTTTCTGGACTGAGCTGTGAGGGGAATCCCCGGATCGTTGCCGGTCCTTCTGGCACTTGAGGCGAACATCTTCTTCCTTTGTTAGGGATCTTGTGGCCTTCGGATCCTCCCTTAGGCTTAGGTAACAAGTCCAATTTGCTTGGGCGGATCCTCCAGTACATCCACTCTCCAACTATCAGGAAGTCTGGCGCTCCTTCAAGGTTCCGAAAAACACCCGCAACGCGAGAAATTCCCCAGTATCAAAGGCTTGAAATAATTGAAAAATGTTTTGGACGCTCGTTTTGCAGAAAACTGTCGGCCTCGGGTAGATTGTCTCAGTGGTGGAGACTGATATTGTTATTAATCGAATATATATATGTATATGTCGTGGTTGTGAGAATGGTTGCACTGTGGTCGTAGAATGTTTGTCGTATCGATGCTAGTAAATCTACTGTTTGGCTTTGGATGCACTGATTTTACATAACAGTCTTCAATTCGAGCATCTCGGGAGGATGGTTACAGGAATAGACACCTTAGAGGAGCTGGAAAATTTTGTGTGAACTGAAGGATTGAGTTAAAAGAACGTGTCGTCGTTTTTGCTACTATTGGAAGTACGTTTTTTGCTCGTGTGGCAGGTTGCACTTTACGGCTGGTTATCGAAAGTCTTCGAAAAGGCGAATAACAGTGATGGCTAATCCTAGTAGTAGAGAGACTGGCAAGAACAAATCGACTACGCAAAGTGGCTCGCCCCCTCTGATCTCGCCGTTGCTTCTTGTATCGAGTATATTAGTTGTCCGGACATCTATTAGCTGGTGCGTTCATCCACTGGATAACCGCTAGCAGACACGTAATCATTTCGTTGTTTTTGCTTGCTCTTGGAACCTGCTCCGGGTGGATCTGTATTGGACTCTTGGTGCTCACAGAAGCTATCAGTGACCAGCCATAGGCTCATTTCGAACAGTGGCATTATGTGAGCTATTGTCGAGTCTCATAACGACAAGCATGTCACCTTGCTAGCGGCACTACAAGACGTAGATTTGCCCTTTTCGCTTGTCTAGCCGATCAATCAATACGGATAACATCTATTTGTTAGTACGGAGGCTTGTTTCCCCTGCTGTTTTTCCTGTCGGCCAGCTTTACACCAGCTTCGAATTTGGCAGCATAACGAAAATTGAATTTAGTTTATATTTGCTGGCGTTTCATAGACGCTACATCGTCTTCATCGCCACACTAGTGTATAGGCGCGGTCGAGATGAGCCCACTAACACCAGCATCAATGGTACCAGTTAGGGCGAATCCAATAGAGCGCACATTCGAATTACGTTAAACGTATTTTACGCAGAAAGATGTCCGCCGGATACACATTTCTCGTATGATATACTCAACCAGCGACAATACTGGAGCATCTTTGTTATTCCATGCGACCTCGAGCGTATCCTTTCGAAAAATCACTGCAGCAACTGCGCTATACTGCAGTTAATACACGTGTGTCCCATTGTCAATTTTTCCTTCACGCCGGCGCGTGCCTCAACACTTTGCCGATTTTATTGAACACACATCATAACTAGAGTCTGTTGGCCAGTTAGCTGCCGATTGTCACCGCAGCAAAGCCGTATCCGAAATAGTCACTGTATAGGGAGCAACCGTGATCAGAGGTATCGCACGATTACCTATGTAACGACGCAGCCATATGGAGACGGCGAAAGATAATGTTTTTATCAGTAGCAGACGGTCGCTTGTTTGTTACTCGGTTTCATTAGCGACCGAGAGTTATCTTAGGGTAAGCCGAAGCATGGAGCTGAAGAGAGCTTTTCAGATAATCCTGTCTGAGGTGTCTGCTGTCTCTTGAAGCATACGAACTCTCCGTGGCCCCTTGTTGTGCTTTTACCGTTGCCCCGCCGATTCGTCTTCGCTCGCAGCTCTTTCACGAAGCTGCTCGGAACGATGACTAGCAGCCGGCGCGAATTCACCTCGACCCACTGTTCTGGGCAGGCTAACCGATTAGGATTCACTCCATCGGCTTATACGTCCGAGTCTACTCACGTTCGATGGGCGCCAAGCACGGTATAAGTGCAACGGTACGGTGCAATTCCACGAGCTCATGGCGTGTGGAGACGTGGAACTACGGCATCGGCAGTAGCAGTAATTACAGCCTCGTCCACAGTAGGCCAAGCAAAAGCAACCTCATCGATCCTGTTGCCTATCAAGCGAAAGGACGACAGTAGGTAACAGGTACGCTAGACAAACATTTAGAGAACGGAGCTCGCAAGGCTGGGACGGAAAGGTCGACAGCTAAACGCCGACCACTATTGCGACTGCCCCAGTTATCTTAGCTTGTTAGTGCTGTCTAGTTATAGAGCGTGCCACAGAGCTGTTGTGGCAGTTCATCTGAAGTAAGCAACACCCACTGACCATGGTCGCCGCCATCCGCCTCAGCTAGCACAATAGCCGATAGATTTTTGCTACGTGAACCTACGGCAGTTTTTGTGGGATCCGACGCGCCAGGTCGACTGAGCAAAATAACTTTCCTGATGGCTAAAGCCACCGTTGATGCCTGTCGCGACCGCTGTCATCCAAAAACTGTGCCCTTCGAGACGTCACTAACTTACAAAATTAACTAATGCCAGCGCTACATCAGACCTATAGGAAGGACATCAAACTAACTACTAATGGGTGTCCAGTATTAGTATTGACGAAAAACTTCCCATAACTATAAAGATTGTACGCTCTCAAAGGCACAAGGCACGGCGATCTAGCCTGTATTATGTTTGTCGGTCTGTCGGCGAGCCTGTGTGTAGCTGAGGCTGGTCTTTTTTCGTTGTGTTTGGCCGCTATCCTGATGTCAATGGTCAGTACGCAGCTCACAGAGCGTGCCATCGTGCAGTATAATGTCGCATACATGTAGACGTAGGTAGGCACAAACGGATGAGCTGTTTTGCAGCGATAAGATGTGCATTGCTGATAGTCGGCTTATGTCGACAGCAGTGTCAACAGGTCAACATAATAATAAGCTATCAATATGCTAACTTGAAATAGGTTGCCAGTTACGACTAACTAAATTCGTCAACTTCGTTAGTACGTAGTGTTCCTTCAAACACTCGAAGCTTTGGGAAGAATGGAGAAAGAACATTCCGCTCGGCAAACATGTAAGTAGTTCCTTCATGAATAGCTCCATGAACAGCACAGCAGAGACAGACATATGGCTTGCCGATTTCAGTAGAACCTAGATTTTTGAAGGAAAGATATTGAGAAAGTTTGTTGAATCGAACCTACGAGCTGTCCAACGCGAAAGCACTGCCAGCGGAGACCGAAATATCGAGCAGGAACACTAACGTTTCTGGTTTCTAGAATGTAGCAACCCAGATTAGAGAGGCAAATGGCTGCGCATGCGTCTGGAGTCGACGTAGGCTCCGAAGTGTCCTTAAAACGTTACTTTAGATACAAAATTCACAAAAAAAAATGTCAACTTACATGCCATCAAAATAAATATGGAGGGATACGCGAGTGGCACGCGATTCACACTAACGACGGCTCGAACCTACTAGGAAAGTTCAAGCGGATGACAATGGGGTAATTTAGTTTGTTTCAATCCAAATCAAAACATATTATTGTATAGACTCAAAGCAACATAGCGAACCTACGTCGTCCTGCGTGTCGCCCACAAATATACCTGAAATAGGTAACGAGAAAAGGCATCATAGCTAACAACTGGATAAAAAAATGGTTGTATACATTGTCACAAAGGTCTGTATAAACTGACATCGAGCAGCGGTAGCGTCACAGTTTGTGTGTAACTGAAGCTAATGCACTGATTTAGCAATATGTTAATTTTATTTTCCTTATCATAGGTTTGAATCTATAGGTGAGTGAGGAATTCGCATCGTGCATATATCCGTGCATCTCTGCATAAGGAATCGAGCTTCCCCGCGTGCAACTGCGTGTGCTTGTCTGAAGAATTAATCGCTAGCGAGATTAACTACCTGGGAACGCATGTTGTTCAGACCTTTGACGAAACTGATTTATTGACGCGTTTACGTATTAAGGAAGTCGCAAATATTACGTATTAAGTAGAAAGCATCAAGGGATGAGCTTGTTCTGCAAGAGCTGGTTTTTCCACAGATAAGCGCACGCCGCACTTCACACTGTCATAGACAAACACTGCAAGATACGCCGGTCACACTTAACTGACAGACTTTGAAATTTAACCAGGCAGGCCGAAAACTAGCTTCTCATCCGGGTCGTCATATTGTATCATATGTACCTTCACGTCGGCGCCGTTTGTCGATCTATCGTTGGCACAAACACTGACGATCCTGTCTGCAATTGCTTCTTCCCTGGCGATAACGCCTAAGGTGTCTTATTTAATGTCTTAGATATATAAAACAAACGTAGTGATCCCGATAGGGCATTATTTAGGCACGGTCAAAGAAGTTTGTAGCAGAGTGCTAAATCAAACGATACAGCAACGCAGATCCTACACCATGGTAAGTAGTATTGGCACAGTATATGTGGTGAACATTGCCACAACACGAGCGACTGGTTGACTGATGGATGAACCCATAGGTGTTACACGGTACAGAACGGATGGTAAGAGCCAATAGAATTAGCGAGCGTTAGAGTTCGCTCGTTGATGCGACCATGTTCGGCTGCGATTCGGTCTGCTTTGGCGTCTTGTCGGCGTCATTCACTCTAGCCAGTGTTCAACAACACGCGCGTACAATTCCAATGGCTAGAAAAGTGGGTAACAGCGACCCTTCGTTTCCTTCCACACCCGGCAGTATATTCCTACGAAGCATGGCGTCCTCCTATATGCTACCCTCTTGTCTCGTCTTCTGCCTTCTTCTCGATACGTTAACGGGAGAGATATGTGGTGTTGCATGCTGTATGCACGCAGCTTGCACACGTTTATTTCTATGGGTTCGCCTGCACCCGTCGGCTCAAAGGGCGCAGCTGCTAACGTCGCTGATATTGTTGGTAGCTACTGACACTCGTTGCTGGCCTTTGATTGGGTAGCATCTGTCGACTACTGGGTTCGGCCGGCTTGTTTGCCTACGCCAGTAATGATAACATCAGTGGTTGTCATTGTGTGGTGTCCAGCTTGTGCGTGTCTGTATGAGCCATCGAACTCACCGAGCCTCACAAGGCGAGCCCGACACATGTTTGAGATCGTTTAGATCGGCGATTTGTGGTGGACTTTGATTGATTTCAGCTAACGTTTGTCGTTCACTTTATCGGCTGATTACATAGGCAGCTGACCAACGGTTAATTCAGATGACACTAACCGATGGAAGGTTTTAACGAAGCCACCAAAGCTTGTGCGGTTGAAACTAGTGATTTAGGCCGAAAAGGCTAAGAACTCAGTAATATGACGCAGCATTTGCTTTGTATCTGGGAGTGTCACTTTCGGATCCCTTGCCTTCGTGTGGCACCAAAGCCTAACGCGTGGGAATGCGTTTGAAGATGCATATTTTACCCCCTGTTGCCACTACGACCACCAATTTGCGCCTGTTCAGTGTATGTATTATTACACTGTGTTACCTCGGTTGAAAACGCATCGCATGGCTTTTATAAAAAATTAAAAAAAGTACCTCCAGGAACGGATACAGGCAAGTACATGGTCACAGATACGTAGGAATACACTTTAACTGCAGCATATATACAAACAAAATAAACAACACAAAAAAAAACAGACACATACGACAAAATTCGAATCACATTCGAAAAACTGTATTAGAGATAGTTGCCCCCACGTTGTGATTATTATTGTAACAGCTTCCACAGCAACTGTAGCTGATGCTCAGGAAGCGCTGAAACCGTCACGAGACGAGCATTTTATAGACTCAGTCTGGAAACCTCACGCGCAAATTACCATTGAATTAGAAGACCGAGAGAGGTCTCCGGTGTCGGCAGCCCATATAATGTTATACACAGGTAAAAAGGTCGATATATCGATCAGGCCTATGAACGGCTAAAAAACAGAAATGGCTAGAAAGTACCTGCACTGCATTCGCAGGTGCTAATTGCCATTCGGTCTTATGCACAACCGTACAGAAGCCGTACAGGATAACAATGTCGGCATGGCAAATGTCAGCACGATAAATTCTATTCTTCACTTCGACACCGGCTGGGATCTTAGTTCGTTGTTTCCCACTCCAGGAAAGAATGGGTAGTGCTTGAAGAACTAATAGCCAAGTTAGCGATGCTTAACTATAGTAAATGCCTCTAGTTAAAGCTCTGCCAATCGTAGTACATGGGGTAGCAACCAAATAACTGTGCTAAAACGATCGAAAGGTCTACCACCGTTGACACAAGTGGGTATTGTTTGTTCGCACTGGTAGTAGCAGGTCCAGCAAAAGTTGATTCAGGAGATGCTTGTTGGAACCGAGAAAAGGCTGTAGCAGTTATCAAGCTAACACAATATACAGTGTTCCAGCCACTTATGAATGGGTGTCGATAATCCCCGATGACAGCTTAGAAGGTAATGTATTTGCTTGCTAATCTTAGGGACACCTTGTGGTCCAGGTTCGAACCCGAACACACTTCGCACGGTCCTGGGAGCTAGCCGTATGATGGGATGTCCAACGGCGATACCGGGCATAAGACTCGAAACATACATCTTTGAGCCTATATGATTAAATCTCCCTAGAAAAAAATAAGTTTACACACTCTTAGGAGAGAATAGCTTCTTCTCTTGAATAAACATAGGTATAAGCGCATTTTTTTTACAAAACTAATACAGTCTGCGAAAGAAGAAAATTACTTCCGCTTATTTCCGCAGCGGCTTCTGTCTGGAAATAATGGCTTTTCAGGAGGCTACCTAATCAAAACCGGAACTAGTCTTATTTAACATTGAATGGATAAACACTGCAGCTAGACACCGAGCACGGCATCCGCTTCTGACCCAGCGATATTTTAGAATCGGCGATGCGGTCCATTGGACGTTAAGAATATCTACGCCATGTCCCACAAGCCTATTTTATAAGAGACCAAGGTTTACACACGTCTTGAGAAGAAATTGCTTGAGCTTTAAAAGATGCTGTATCACCCGGATGACTTGAATAATATTTTAGTATATAACATGTATAATGTATATGTTTTAGGTGATTTTGATAAATACAAATAAAACATTTATTTACTTAGCTAGAAGAAGACGGCATCTTCAAACCTGAACGTTTATTTATGTTGTGTATAAGGTTTGGTAAGAAGAGCAAACCTGTGTAATCGCACAATAACTAATAAATCAGAGCTGTGTCAGAAATATAATTATGTATCTTATTATTATTATTATTATAAAATCATTGCTGTGGCAATCTCCTTACAGACTGTTTCGCTCACTTATTCTAATCGTCCATTACTTGTAGATTTTACTAGCTGAAGAAACAATGGGTTTTCAGTTTTAGTCCAATCACAAACATGCACACTGGTATATGACTGAATCTCAACCTGATAACTGTAGATAATGAACGTTATGGTAAGTACAGTCCCGTCCCACTAGCTAGCTTTTCCTATCCTTTTCTTCTAGTCCCTTCCAGCTATTTACAGCCGTTTCAATATATTCGATATTGTTGGCAGTGTATTTTGGCTGACGGAACGGGTTGCAACACTTAGCAAGTCGTGCAATGCAGCATGACAAATGCCTCGAATACCGATCGCAAAATGATGTTTATATTTTGAAATTGAAATTTGTTCTACATTGATTAAATAGCACCTCGTTGCTGCTGCCAGCACGCCTGTTTGGCCACGCAGGCCTTTTTCTGTTCCTTTTCATCATCTGCAAGCCCCGCCTGGCGATGCAGGCAATGATTTTGCATTTGTTCCTCTCGAACATCGATCGCCTGTCGGGGCAACATACAGTTACGCTTTCATCTGCTACGATAGCTTTGTTCGTCGCGCGTTTTTCCATAACCCAGCCCAAGGTGTCTCTTGTTTGCTTTCCACATTTGCATGCGCCGAACAGAATCCGACACAAACTGACAGGTATCGATTTGTTCCTCTGACACAGCCTCAGCTCTGCAAAAGCGCGTCAAATTCGAATACTATGTATATATATATGCACGTACATACTAACGAGCACAGCCAGCTATGATCGACCTTAAAGGAAAGGACAGGCGCACGACCTTATTCTACTTATTTCTCCTAAATAGAAGCTGTAGTAATCGATAACGTAGAAATGTTCGAGCGAAGTGCACAGTATAAACACTAGAGCATCTTACCTACGTAATGATGCAAGGTTCTCTATAGTAGACAAAACAAAAACAAGCGCAAGTATTTGCTCGAAAAGTCTCATAAAGGCACGTTTGTTAGGTCAGTGCTTTGATCCTACGTATATCGTTTATGATTTCGCACATAGTCATCAATAATGCAAAAGCTCTGATTTGAAGAAATCGTTGCATTGTTTATGGCACGATGACGTGCAATGAGTGGCCGTACACGTACGGCAGTATGTAGTGCAGCAACGGTTGAAAGTACGACGAGATCACTGCAAGACCGACGCGCTGTTTTAGCAAATCCGTTACATAAACCGCTATGGAAATTCGTCGCAAATACGGTAAGGAAACGCTACTATTCAATTTCTCTATTGCTCATAGCGAAACATTTTCCTGGCAGTCCAAAGCAGAGTATCATTTACAACCGTTGCGCGGCCTGCTGGCCGATACCCGCCTTTACTGAGCGTAGAAATACTTGAAGCATTAATTTATGAAACAATAATTTGTTGATAGAACCCAGAGAGAAATTATTGGCATATTTACAGCTGCCAAATTCGTTTTGAAAGGTACGCGAAGATTCCTTCAGAACTGCTATATTAACAATTTTTTTTTGCCATTTCAATTGCATCCTCTACAGCCACACACACACACACACACACACACACACACACACACACATATATATATGTAATGTACAATTAGCCAGACATCTCACTAATGCCCCCAACTGGTTTTGGTTAGGTTTCGGCTTGCGTTCTAATGCGGAAAATCTTATTCGCCATCTGAAAAAGTTAATAAAGTCAGTTGCTGCTAATAGCAATTGTCTACACAACCTGAAAAATTGATTCTGAACTTCTAATGGTATCTAGCGGTCGCCAGTTGTCACTGCCCAGTCAGGCTACGGCATAATCTTTGACCTTATTTTACGCTCTGATGAAATCATCTCAGCTGCATGTCTCTGTGTTCTGGAGTTAACGTGTCATGCTTGACGCGTCCTACGAGAAGGTCCTTTATAAGTTGAATAAGCTTTCCAGTATCTCGCATAGGACAAATTCTATTGAGAAGTATTGTATTGTATT